TAATCTATATCTAAAATATTGATTCAATATCTATAGGGTTGAATGGGTGGTGGTAAAAAAATCATTTCTAAACCATAATAGTTGTCAGCCATTAGTTATACATATATATAAACCACCCCCAATTTCATACCAACCTGTGACAGAAATGATTATTCCCTTATATCTCAGCAACCACTAGGTATTCTAAATCAATATTTATATATTTAGATAGCCTAGATCTAGGGCTATCTAGTGATATTAATTTTATTAGGGAAATCCCAGAAATTAGTGATTTTTATCTAAAACGGTGCGGATTGGTTAGTCGAATCCGATAAAACCGCAAAAACCGTAACCAACGGTTTTAACCGAACTCGAATCGGTTTCACCCTATGGAAACCGAAACCGGTGCGATTCCCTAGGCTAGGAACCGAACCCTCACCGCTGCGAGTTCGGTGAGGGTCGGATTCGATTTTAGCGGTTCGGTTATGCAACTCTAGACTTACCCTAGATGAAAAAACTTCAACAAGAGACAGGAGGAAAAAATGCATGAAAACAAAGACATAAACTAAAGCCATCACACACAGTCAAATATCTGTCTTCCAACCTTCAATGCTTGCATAATGGGTGCATGAATCTTGTCCTCCTTTTTATACTCGTCAAACAGTGCTCGAAAATCATATTATGGATATTCCCTTTTAGTGAGTCCCTGGTTAATGAATGGTCTCGTTTCGGTTGTACTGCCCATCCAGGGTTTATTTTCAACCACATCAATATTATATTTGTCTTTCAAAAATTCTGCAAACCCTTCCGAAAGATTCAACTGACGGAGGTATTCAACTGTATCGAACGGGGCTAGGACATTGGTGAGAAGCTTGTTCATAGACGGGTCCTCAGAACCCTTCACTGCCCTTTTCAAATCTTTCAGCTTTTTTGAAACCTGTCACATTCATCAGCCTGACTGGTAGATATTACTTTGGAACTTGGAAGGCAGACAGGCACCAAACCTGGAGCTGATGGTCACGTGGCTTGGTCTGTATGGACTCCGAGACGATAAGTGTGAATGTGGCGCCAAGGAAACCGTCGCCCATGTCATACTCGACTGCCCAAAACTAAGTATAGCACGGCAGACCCTCCGCAAAGAGACCGGAGAAGCGTTCGGGGATATCTCAACCGTGCTAGGAGGAAATAAGGAAACCAGCTTCTAGCAGATGCCCAGCTGCTGGCGTCTGGCTCTACTGATCAAACCGTCAAGCTCTGGGATTCCGCCGCCTGTGCCCTGAAGCATACTATAAATACAGACGGAAATATTGCCAAAATCGACTTTTTTCCGATAAGCTGCCCGAAATTATAACCGACCTGTAGTCTTTTGATAGCCCAGTCTGGCATAAAAGCTTCCCGTCAAATTCGTCTAAAACAGAGACTGAGGTATCTCTGCGGGCGGGTCGATGGGTTACTATTCAGGCTCAAAGAGGTTATGTCTCCCTCCTGATTATCTGCCCACGTCTGCAACAGCCAAAGAGGTACTATAGCAGTTGGATGCATAAACGCAGAGTTTGTATGACTGAATTTTCAATCTAGAGTCATACGGTGTTAAGTTTTGTATCTACTCATATTTCAAAATCTCTTTCGGAACGAGGGTCTGGAGCAGCCGCATAAATCAGAGGACCACAGTCCAAACGCTCCGCGAACGGGATGAGTTACTCAGTAAGCCCATTTTGCATGACCCGATTCGCAGCTTTTATCGTTAATGCTTCTATTGGGTGGCTATTTAATGCTAGTGCTCCCATGGAGAGTAGAGCATCGACAAGGCTGGGTCATGATTTTCCTCCGCTGTCCTACGTCAGTATTTCTATTTGCCTCTGGCATCCTGTGCTATATGTTCTCGTCCCTTCTAACATGGCGCCGAACCCTTGTGACGGTCTTCCAGTGAGTTGTACTGTCCAGTACTGTCCACGCAAGGGCCTGCCAGGTGGACAGGAAAATGCAGGAAAAATTCCGAGAGACTCAATTTTTGAGTCTCACAAGGAGGAACGGGATATCTCACCCATATCAACCCCTCTTCCTAGTCTCCGTAATGGCTGTTTCCTATGTGACCCGGTAAGCAATTTTATCGCTGCGGAAATGCTTGGCAGGCAACCATGCCGCTTTTTTGTTAACTGCGGCGCTACGCTTTCTTCGGCGTCCGCAGCCATGTCCTCACACAATAGTGATCTTGATGTTCCCTGAGGCTTAACACCCACGGACTGCCTCAGCGCACCCTCACTTGCACTATTCCGTAAAAGGAAGGTTGCCAGCCAACCCCATTTCGCGGGAGCTTATCCCTTATTCGCGAAGTTGCTCTCATATACTCGGCACACGCGCTGCGCAAAGGGCCAAGACTTTCGTTTCCATTCCATTTTCCCGTTATCTTTTCGAACACTTGAGGCTAACTCCAGTAGAGATCTTAGAGGAATCTATGCTATACATACATGAAATTAACAAGGTTCAAGAAGCCAAGATCCGCCTAAGTGGCCAGCTGCTTGAGCAGATTGCTAGAGCGATCGCACGACATGGCTAAGTAGACGGTAAACGGGATTACTTAACGGTACTACTTAGATATGGATCAACACATGTATTCCTTTCTCAGATAGTAGAGTTGGATAATACAGTCACTGATCAACAGGAAATATATTAGATAATCAGCGGCGGCCACTTGCTAACTACGGGTCCGTCCGGCGGTCGGGGCACGCACACGGGGCGGCGAGAGCACGCCGGAAACACAGACTGTGCACGCACCATCGACGAAATCAGGATGCAGGGAATTAGGATCAGGGGCTCCTCCCAATTGACAATAGGGTATAGGGCGGCCGCGTATTTATTCTAGTGACGAGGCGAGGCGCGTGGAAAAGACACGCAAAAATCGGATCAGAAGGCAGGCTGTCGTTGCGGCTGCCTGGGAGGTCCATTCTTGTTATAACTAAAAACTGATGGATGCATATTGTCATTACATCATGGATATACTCATCTTTCAAGTCGCTTCTAGGAGTAACCAGAGACAACTCTCTCGCTTCGGCCTATGCATCTTCCAACACAACCCGCACCTTCGCTGTTAAGAGAGCATAGGTTAAACTCTAATTAGCTGGTTTGGCGCCACTGGTCTCTGATCCATTCTAAACCAAAAATGGGACCGAGCTCAGAATATGTCAAGTATAATACAATAGCGGTACCAATTTCGATGCTTCTTACCAGGTGCCAAGTCTATCGAACAGTCTAGATTCAGGAAAGCTTGCAATTACATCTAGGACTACCGAGGAAAATTCTGCCGTTTCCGGCGTAAAAAGTATTGGACGCACTTTTTCTCTTCGTTATCGTGACTTATGAAAAACCGTGGATCAGAGATATCTGTCCCATGGCTCTGGCCAGTCTAAACATTGCTCTTGTTTTGGTTGGCTAAACGATCCGCTCGGCTAAGTCGGGGTGACCCGAACCTAAATTTTGGCAGTTGTAGTAATTTGTGAATGCGAACCACGGTTGGCTCAACGTCTTATTTAAAGTTCTAATTTCGGCGGAATTGACTTGAAGTTCATTTGCTGGGAAACCCTACAATTAGGAGGGGGACCCGCTAGTGGTCGAGACAACACTGCGGTCCTCTACGCACCCATCAAAAAATTCCCAAAATTTTAGTCGCTTACCACGCCACCAATTCAAGGCATTTTGCCTTGAAACTTTCCAGAATGCTGCAATTTGAAGTAACTTGGGACTTCTGAACATCCGAGCTTCTTACGATGCCTAATTTGAAATCATGTCTGCCGCAAAGTACTGAATTCCGGTCTACCTCGGACCCACTTTTTCCCCCCATACTTAAGGCTTAACCCCTAATTCCAGTCTAGCATATATAGTACATATACCGTCTCGCGGGCTAAGACGGTCACGGCCGTGCTAGACTTCGCCTAGGCGTCGCAACAGTTTTGGAGTCGCGCGCTACGAGGGCAACCTAACAGTGGGAATGGCAATTAGGCCACGGCAGGCCTTGACGAGGCTCTAAGTTCGTTTTCAGGAAGTGGAATACTCTACTTGTACGTTCGCGGATACATATAGTTGTTGTAGCCTGCTTATCGCTTTTTATTGCGAGGGGTCAGGGTAAATGACATCATCCATCCATCCACCCAGCTGTACGCAGGTCACATCTCATCACGTTTAAACCTTTAGAACCTGCATTGGACAATTTCAAAGGCGAATCTGCATGACAAAACTACATACATGACGCGCAGATTACATGCACAATAATGACAACTCAAACTCGACTGAGCCAACATGTGGATCTCATTTACACTAACAGCCAAGTAAATTTCAACCGTCTGGCATATGCAAAGGACAAAAACAGGGCATATCTGTATTGATGCTTTCCCCTCATTATTTCGTCTATCCTGCGTTTTAAGCATGCAAAGCCAACTCAGTCGTTGCTTGCATTTCCTATGTATGGGTGGGAGGTATTCATTCGGAAGGACCCAGAGCATTGATGACCCTTACGGGTAGTCAGCTCTTGAGGTTTGATACGCCATCTCCACAGCGCAGCAGCAGGGAGCAAGCGAATAGCATGTATCCAAATCGAAGTGACGCAAAGACTTCATTCTACCAGATATGATCTTTCATGGATCGCCCACTTATGCTTATTGTACCAAAGCAACGCATTGTAGCTGCACCCGGAATGCAGAAGGTAACGGTAACACTACCCATAATACTACAGTTTGTAAGAAGTTTAGTAATTAGCAGAAGAGTATCTCCATCGGGCAGAGGACTCGAGACTGTACCGTCCAGGAGACGGATAAATAACCCCCAGGCAGAGGTATACATATATATAGGTGCCGTCAATTCTCAAGGTCCTCGAGTTCGTCTCTAACCCAGTATCCTACATTGCTATCTATTCAAGCATTACAGTAACTATTTTCTACCTTGAATAATCATGTCTGAAGACTTGAAGAAATTTTATGCTGAGTTTGTGCTCCAAGCTAATTCCAAATGATGTTGCCTTGTTCACTAACATGCGTCTTCTCAGAGTTGATAAGCTCGCAGACGCCGAGTTTATTGACAAAAGTAAGTGACTCTATTTGCTGATATTTGAACTTGTGTCCCACACCGACTTTAGGACTGGCTACGGCTATTTCCCACCAGTCGATTTCGAGTGAGGCAAATAAGCGCCCAGATGTCGTGAAGGTAAGTAATCAGTGGCTGAGCAGATATGGGTATGCATTATCAAAAGCTGACATCCTTTCCAGATGGAAAAGTTCCTGGAGGTAGAGCTGGGCAAAAAATTCGGTGCCGAAGTGCAACCCTATTGCATGGGCAAGCAAAAGAAAAAGCAGCCAACAGACCCAGACCTTCGATCTGCCCCCGATTCTTGTTGCCTGGTATCCCCCGAGAAAGAGCGCTTCAAATGACAAGAAAACCCTTCTCATCTACGGCCACTATGATGTTCAGCCAGAGTTGACCGGTTGGTCGTACCCGGCCTTTAAGCATACCAGAGTGCAAGGCCCTAGTGGGGAGCGACTATATGGACGGGACTCTACTGATGACAAGGGACCGGTTTTGGGATGGCTAAATGCAATTGAAGCCCACAAGAATGCCGGAGTTGAAATTCCTGTCAACCTCATCTTCTGCTTTGAAGGCATGGAAGAGAGCTCGTCGGAGGGATTCACTGCTTTTCTTGAGAAATATGGAAACGATTTCTTCAAAGACGTGGACGGAGGTGTCATTGCCGACAATTACTGGAACACCGCCAAATGCCCATGTCTGACCTATGGGCTTCGAGGCATCAACTACTTCAGGGTCACCATCACGGGCGCCCCCAAGCAGCTCCATAGCGGCATCTATGGAGGCGCTGTTGCCGAGCCCATGACAGATCTGTTTAGTCTTTTTTCGAAATTAGTCAATAACGAGGGGAAGATTCTGATCCCTGGCATCAATGACCAGGTAGAACCGCTCACCGAAAAAGAGAAGGCACTGTACAAGAAAATCCGTTTCAAGTTGAAGGATTTCACCGACGCAATCGGCGATACAAAAGTTGTCAGCGTAGAAGCTAAAGCGGCGTAGTTTCAACTCATGGAGAAATGAGTCGATTGATGCTGCGTCATGGCAGGGAGAACCCTCTTTGGCTCATGCCTGGGAATAATGACGTTAGCTTCTAGATTATTTGGAACCATATATAGGGACGCTAATCCTATATCAGAAAGAAAAGTAGACCAGCCGGGGGACTGCCTGTGTGGAGCAGTGGCGACAGACGGAGATAGAGTACCGCATCCATGGCCCGATCAGCCATTTCTTCGTCTGCGACTTCGGCTGCTTTGGTAGGCGCAGAATTATTGGTGAAGTGCCTGGTCTGGCTGTTCCCATTTGCCTCCGCCAGATAGCAAAGAAGGCGTCGAACTGCGACCGCCGCACAAACCCTGCTGTGACCCCTTAGCCCCCCCCAAGGCTCCCGGAGCCTATCATCTGCCAGGGCTAGGCGATCGACATCCACAGTGTCAACATACGGTATCCCACAACGTCCGCGAACGGACTCATCCTGGTTGGCATCCAAATATAGGACTGTCGAATAGGGTACAATTGTCGGGTTGGACACAAGCTTTGTAATTGTTTGCAGCCAGCGGGCTCGGAAATGGAGATATTGTGCTCGACAGTCGATCTCGACGACAGTTGATTCCCCGTCGCGTAGTCGCTGACGCTTGCCCCCCCCCCCCCCCCCCCCCCCCCAATATATCCTTTAGCACTAGTACGATGAACGTGGCGGGACTTCGTAGTGTAGTTCGAGGAGCGTGTAGCACCTAGTAGTGTGCGTGGCCAAGAACAGGTATCATCATCAGCCTGTACCCGGAAGCCTCGACGTGCTGCGGTCGTACCTATCGCGAGGCTTGACCAACAATTCCACCACAGTGTGATGATCGAAATTTGCTCGACAAGACACGCGAATCTCTCTCTCAATCCATCTCAGCGTTCTTACCTCCAACGCCAGTTGCACTTACTGAGCTCAAAGTAGTACTCGAGCTTGGATTGTACCTCTGGAGTGGCCATCCCGACAGAGGCTAGAATGTTTCCCCTGACAATGAACAACTTGGTTGTGCGAGAAGTCAGTTTTATCGCTCAACAGATCGCCTGCTGCGCTTGTGGTTAGGAGCTTGAATTCCTTTGCTTGGAGCTCGTATACTTGATTCTATGATCGTCGACGGCATAATGTAGAAATAACGAAAGTGCAGAAAAGGACTTTGGTTCATCAATCCGTGCAGCTCCATATCATGTGCTTGTCCGACTACAGTACGCAATTGGGTGTTGGACAAGGTGATTCAACTTGATGTACAGATACTATAAGGTAGTATTCTCTTTCTCTATGGTTTCTTCTAAGAATTTAAGAACTATTAGCTTCTTTTACTGTCTTTATAGGAAGTCCTTATCCCTAAGCTGATTCCCTTTGCTCAAGAATGTGCAATCGAACGACCAAACATAATTATTCTCGAAGATGGAGCTTCAGCTCACCGTCATCGATTTCAGCAAACTATATGCAAAATTTCTCTTAGTCCCTGGCAAACCTCAGGCACAGCGTCTGAGCTAGGAGAGCTGGCCCATGTCGGGATCCTCAACATGATTTACCTTGTAGGAAACCCTATCAAATATAGACAGTAAAAGACAGATTTTTGCGCAAGTCATGAACTAGTTTTTAATTACTACTGCAAATCATAAAGCGGAGACTAGTGCAATTAATAGCCAGCATATTAGGTGAGAAGCGTCATAGTCAGAATATCATTCTCAGCTTGCCGATATCCAGTCGTGGTCGTTTCCAAATATCCACATCACCAATATCCTTCGTCTTCTTTTTAATCGTCCCTTCTTCAGACAGTTGGATTTTTACGGCAAAGCTTCCGTGGAAAAGCTTTGCCTCATCCCCTTCCGGAGTAGATTTGGGCAGTATAGGCATAAAGCTGGTGACATGGAGACTGTTTTGGCAGTTACTACAGCCACCCACATGCCACCTGCTGAAGACAGGTTCATAACCGACCAAATTCTCATCCTCCCAGACACTTATAGCGAAAGATCCCTTCACCAGAGACCGGTCAATGCCTGAGACACGGACGAAAGACACTGATTTTGGCTCTCCATTACCGTCTTTCTTGGAAACTCGTTTGTCGTATTTATAGCCTAAGTCCTCTGTGTGGGCGACATCCTTTGTTTACGAATCGGATTAGCCCCGTATAACCTGAAAAGCCGAAAGATTTCATCGTTTCCTTATCGCGAAACACCCAGTGCTATCACGCTCTCTGCGGACGCTAAATGGACGGAATTGCTGTCACTCACCACGGATGTTAAAAAGCGCCCATTCTCTTCGATCGGATTCTCGCGGAATGGATATAATGGTGTATTTTCGTCCAAGGCGGAATCCGCGGCCATTTTTGGAGTGGGTCCCTGGTCATCCACGGAGCTTGTTCCCGGATAATCTTGAATGACCTTTATTTGCCTCCCATGTTGCTCTTGCCAGCTCCAGAATACGAGGTCAACGAAGCAATGGTGGAAAAAGAAGATAGGATCAAATGCAGCCGAGTCATTCTCTCCCATATCACCATTGGCACCTTGAAATTCCGGACAGGGTTCACGCAAATTAGGGAAATCGTAGCCGCCAACAGCTAGGTGCATGGAATTGTGAGGGCGTTCCAAAGAAACAACATACTCCCCTGTTACGTGATGTTTATCATAGTCAGGGCGGCCCACCTGACTAATTTTATCGTCGTTCCATTTGCCTGCCGATGTAGTATTCGAAAAAACTGTGTAGTTAGGGGCTTCCAAGCATCGTAGATATTCCTGACGAGCTCCCTCCACATGATGCTTTCCATATGAATCAGATCGCACAGCGGCGTCCTGCCAGCGAGTGATGTTTCGGTTCAATATCTTATCCGCGTACCCCATACCCATAGAGTCGATCAACCAGTTGTGTTCGATTGTATCTTTCAGATCATCTTTTCCAACAAGGCCGGAATATGGACAGCGAACAGTCTTATAGCCCGCGTACTTCCCATAGTCCTGCAACTTTCCCTGCTTCGATTGATCCGATTGATCTCCCTTTTTCTCTTTTTTAGGAGCTTCAATGTATCTCGCCAACTTGTCAAAGAAGCCTTGTTGCAATGTATAAGAATACAGTGGGTTGTCAATTGTAGTTGTTCCACAATTCTCCAATGTATTGTGAAACGTATATTTTTGTTGTAAGAAGATCGGAGGGATCCTCTGTGTCGAGTTGTCGCCCTCCATTTCATCCCAATAAGGGAGCGCGACATCCTCACAGCCAGATACGCTTTGCAGCGCTCTCTCCAGGTGTAAGAGATATGCGCGATGCCACGTGGGAAACAGAACATTGCCATGATGGCAATAACCTCCCCACCAGGCGCTATTCCCATAGCCCGCGCCTCGGAAGGGCTGACCGTGCAAGCCTGCGATTACTTGAAAAGACTTGAGATTAGGATGACCTGGCTCTCCCGGTTTGTTCTTCTGGATTTCGTGGAATGCGTGGATCAGCTTATCCAGCTCCGCGTCGGTAAGCTTACAAATAGACTTGCGTGTGCGAACAACAGTCATGGCGACAGCAAGCAGATAATACGAACGACCGTAAAGATAAAAGTTGTTAAATACTGGGAAATGTTGGAGAACAAGACGCTGCGCAAATGGCTGCATTTATAAGAAAGACTCGGAACTACCTAAGTCATACGTAACCCTCCAACCATATGACCTTACCATCCTTTCCCAAAACGCGCAATTAGTGTTAGATCTCCTGCTGCAACCGGACTGTGGAACATCGTCACACATCATGACTAGCAGCCTGCCATGGTTGAAGATGGACAGCTCGGTACTGCATGCAGTAATAACCCGCGAGAATCATGTCGTCACGACAGATTTGGATATGAATCGTCCAACACTCGGATGTCCCGGAGCAGGGATCCAACTTGCAAGATTACGCACACCGTTCCTACTATCGTCTCGTCATCGAGTTTGTCCGCATGTCGTGTTTTGGTTTCGCCACAATGTAGCAACTCCTTTCCAGTAGCCTATACTTTCTTCTTCCTCACGAGAGATGCTCAACCACAGAAAGTAGCCAGTAACAGCTAGAAGAACCGCCACATAAAGGGCCATTCTTGGAGGAATAGGGTGCTTTGCATTCGAAGATTGGCTCTCCGACCGGTACGTTCGGGCACGGTAGACGTCTTTTCGATGTCACAGCGGCTATAATCCGTCGCCCTCTTGCTGTTGCATTCTGATCCTGTCCATGCATCTGATGGACGCAAAGGTTCTAATATTTTTTGGGCAGATTTGGTATTTCACCGCATTCGGCGCTTCAACTGGACAAGCATTGGTTGCCATGATGATCAAGGCCTGGGCATAAACCTGTGGACACTTGACCGACTCCGCTTTCAGGTTGTTGCTGGCAGACCTCACTGACTTAGTATATGCCTGGCGGGGCTGAGAGATGTCACCTGCAGCTGAGAGATGTCACCTGCAGTATAAGTATGTGCTCTGGTCCCCAACACCTCACTTGTGTTTTACGGCCCATTTTCCACTTGAGGACCTGATCTTCCTATTCTGCTACATTACTGAAGTTTTCCACCTCGTCATGGCTACAACACATGCCACACAGGGAATGGATGAAAATGACGCATGGATGGGACCCGATATTTATAAGTTAGAAGCGGTGAACCCAGTTGCAAAGTCTAAATACCTCGAACTTTTAAAAGACAAAGTCACTATTAGGTAAGTCAAGTTTATGAGCCAGCTGCGCCAGTCAAACAGCTATACCAATAGTGTAACAGTGAAGAAAATGGAAGTGAAGCCCAGAAATGGCAGATTGCATATGCTGGCAAGGAAAACGCAAAGGAAGAAACAAACTTGTGTTTCTTACTCATAAATGTCGCCTCAGGCAATTATTTAGCTCGCTCTGGTATGCCCTGATTAAGCTCCTAGAGATCATTGAACATGCAGGAGGCTAACTGGTGCACTTTCCCACATGCAAGGAGGCGAGCACAGCGTTCAAGGCGCTGTAGATTCTCCAAAGGCTACTGGCAATACAAGATGGATTCTACGTAATCGCACGGTGAAAAAGGAAAAGGAAAGCACAGTGCAAGATGGATACGTGTACGTCCATCAATATCTTTAATCTGGAAGTCCAACTCTCCTTTTGGGTTGTTTGTTAGCCACGGTTTTTAACTTCAAGCGGCAGGTTCTACTACGGGACAAAAGCACTTGGCGTGAAAGGCGGAAACTCTGTCGAACTTGTCCATTATGATCCGAAGAAAGAACCTGAACCCGAGTGCCTGTGGAAGATCGTTAAAGCCAACTGACGGAAACAGAATCTGACGATTATTCGAGGCTGACACTCCCAAAAAATGTTGTTTCGTGAGTTGCGTGGACTCCTTATTTAATCCTTTTCGGCTTTCATCGTTCTCTAAGGAAATGGATATTTGTCGTGGGACTGGTTGAAATGCTTTTCAAACCCCTCCGGGTTTAATATCTGGCTTCGCCTATATATTCTACAACTTCTTGCAAATGCTATAACTCAGAGAATAGGTTCTATTCCATCTGTAGATTTGACCTAGTAATGATGTTAGGCGCAGAGTGCGTGGTCACCACACTACTTAGGGTGATCAGAAGGTCTAGTGAGTGCAGAGTCCACGTCTACCCTAGAGTCTATATCCTACCTTAGTAGAGTCTATAGATTGATTATTCTTATTAATTATCCTTATTATATTGCTAATATAATAATATTACTACTACCTAGGAGTCTTATTATCTAGCGATATGCTACTTAATACCATTCTTTGTCCTCTTACTAGTCACTGTAACGTAATCCCCGGTGAGCCGCCCACCCGGCCGGGACGCCCAACTCTGTATTTGTTGAAATCGCTAAGCTAGTAACGTTCATGGATCACTAGTAATTTATATGGCCAATTGAAAATCAATGAAGGTCTGGTCTTCTAAACAAATGACTATCTAGCTACTATTTATCCCTCTCGATAGCGGTGGAATTTGAAGCTATTCAAATGATCGAATGCTATCGAATATTCTGCCAAGGGTGGCAGTGCTGCGTCAATTCATAGTCTTCCTAATCAGGCAAGCAGTCATATAATTCAATACACCCCCCCAGCTGAGCCGGTAGGCAAAGCTGCATGCAAAACATAGCTGTTAAAGCCATATCCATCTCCTAATCGGGTAATCATGTTGAATCAATGGCGTTGGATTAGTTAAAGCTTAATCTCTGCCTCCTGATTGGTTAACAAGCCCTACCATCTTATAAAAGTCGATATGCTTATTCTTCAGTAATATCTTTATTAAACCATCTGCCAGCATGCAATTAGTTTCAATCTATTTAACTAATATGCGGCCTGATTAGACCTCTTGCTAAAGCTAATGCTAGTGGATATCTATATAGCATAGCTTCATGCAAATCATTGGCTCTTTGTTACATAGTAGCCCTACTATTTAATGATTATCGCACAGAATGGATATCTTATGTTCTAGATTAAAGCTAATATCCAGGAATAATCACTTCCACTAATAGATATTCTTTGCAGCTTCTAAAACAGCAAGTAATTTAGCCTCAGTAGTTAACATAGTAACTATTTATTACTTCCCTGCGCGCTAGTCTATAGCAGTACTAAATAGCTTCACCAGATATCCCTTACTACTGCTATAATCTAATTAGTTAGCATAGGCAGCATCACTTATAATAATAAAGATATTCCCTGTTAGATCACCCCTATATTCTAATGCATAGTCCTTCGTCAAAGCAAGATATATAATCATGTGATTAGCTGCATCAAAATACACAGGTCTAGGATTCAATAGATGCCTCACTAGATCTGATGTTATCTTAGTGATATCTAAGCAAGTGATCACGGCGGCATATAAAATTAATCTAATTTTAGATTAATAGTGGTGTATCTCATTAATTAATGCCTTTCTATTATAAGGGCGTAAGCTCTCTATTATTATAGGTGTCCATAGCTTCCTATTAGTTAGATCTAAATAATATCGTGCAATAATCTTATTAATATATACCTATTAGCTCAGCCAAAGCTTCCATTTCATTCAATCTTAGCTAATTTTAATATTTAGGAAGCTCTCTCCCTTACCTAGATTATAGAATTTATAGCATTCTTATAGTTTTTAAATAAGATTATCAGCATGCTTCTTGCTTTCAGGATGGTAAAGAAATAGTATATTATTAATAAATACTAAGACAACAGTCTTATCATCTATATAAAGGTATAAATCTATATTAATTCTCCGCAACCCTATCTTATTAAGGGCTTTTAAAATATCTCTCTGCCAGAGGCATGGTGCCCTTTATAGGCTATAAAGGGCTCTCTTTAGTAGGTAAACATAGCTATATTTAGAGAATCCTTCTACTATGTAGGTGTATACCTCCTTATCTAGTTCACTATTTATAAATGCATTAACAGCATTAATTTATTATATATCAAGATTAAATACTACTGCAATCACCATTAACATGCAGAAGATTTATGCAGCAAGAGTGGTAGCAGTAGTATTATTATATATTATTTATTACATGTCTCCTTATATATAAATACATGCTTTTACCTTAATTAAGTAGCCTTCTTAATCAAATTTATATGTAAAAACAAATTATAGTGAAATAATCTACTTATCTATAGGCTATTTAACCTTCTAAAAAGTTCCTTAAGCTAATAATATATTATATTCTAATGCTGTGGCTGCTTCAAAGAGTTCCTTAAGCAGGTGCTTTTACATATCTTTCTAGCTATTAGGTATAGATAGTATTTTATCTTGATGAAGTTGTTTCTCTAGAGCCTTACCTCATAAACCTACTCTAAATAATATAAATACTGAGTGGAATTGCTTCAGGCTATCTATCTAGGCGCTAGCATAGACATCTTATAGAGCTTAATGCTATTATTTTCCTTTAATAATGTTATCCACTAAAAAATCAGCACTTACACTATATTTTAGCTTCTTTAGGATATCATTAATATCATCTGCAGCATCTAGGCCAATACTCAGTTAATTTACTTCCTCAAAGAGCTATTTTAAAGGTGAATCTTCTGGTTCCAAGCAATCTAGGGACTCAGGTAGTGTATCTATAAGCCTTACAGGTATCTCAGGCTCTGGGGAATCATCTATTCTTATAGGCAATCTCAGGGTTATTAAATTAAGGCAAACAGGCTGTTCTCTCTACAGGCTATTAATCTAGCCTCCAGGGATGCTATATTAAGTTATTCATAGTGCATTATCTTACTTAATAGAATTAATAGGTGCATTATGTTAGATAGGCCTTCCAGGCGTAGTATAGGGAGTTAGAGGTATAAGATTCACTACTAGTAATTCTACTATCTAACTACCTTCTTTTTCTAGCATAGCTCTCTTACTTATTTTATTAATTAGTACATTCACCCCCTAAGCTTCAACCTTATCTAACTTATTATTATTACTAGATTCTGTCTCTGCCACCTACCTAATCTGTATATATTTATTTATTATATTAATCTTAATTAGTGGCTCTGGAAGATCTGGTATTTTGATTACTTCTATATAGAATGGTTTAT